CGGACTAGACTGTGTTATTAGGCTTATAGAGGCTCACCAATATACCTGTAAAAAATCATATTGATCGAATATTGATAGTTATGTGATCAAAACAGTTTTTTGTCAACCGTTAATTTGTTCACCGTCAATTTTTTTTAATACAAAACGGATTTGATCACATAACTATCGATATCCGATCAATGTGATTTTTTACAAACATAAAATACTCGACGAGTTCTACATATTAACGGTTCGGATTATCAAAACGGGACCTGTAGTGGGCCCCCACGGGCTCAACAACACCGTCCAATTCGATCTCGAACTGGACACAAGCCGAACCCATATCATTTTATCATTTTCATCTGATTGTCTCTCTCTCTTTTCTTTTTTCCCATACAAATTCTTCCACTCCCAATCACATCTCACCTGCCCTCACAACAAATGCCTACATTGCCACAATTAATCCATATATACCTTATAACTCAAAAAACATAACATAATTTCATACTTTTAATGTTATAATTTAAAGAAAAATGCTTGGGAGCACTAGAGGAAGCACTAATGATGTGGCAGTGGACCCCGCCCACTTTTTATGCCTCGTTTTTTTTTTTTTTTGCCATTCCCAATGTATTAGTGCTATTAGTGGTGTATTTTTTAGTGGTCTAAGTCATTGTTGTAATTTAAAAAAAAAAAATTATAACCAAACATCATAAAAGGTATAAATCAAATATATCATAAATTATAACTAGAATAATGTTATAATTAGAAAAGAAAATTAATTATAACTAAAAATAAAATAAAATAACTAAAGATACATATAATATACTTGATATATATTAAATTATAAAATAGTAAAATAAATACTCATTTTGATATTAAAAATAATAGTTAAATTAGAAGAAGAATTAGTAACATAAAATTAAAAGTAATTCTAACTATTTAATTTTCTTTTATATTCATTTGGAAAATAAAAATATGTAGAAATAGAAATTATATCAAATTTATTAAAAGAATTAAATATAAATATGTTGTAGTTGAATTATCATATAATGATTTTATATTATATATATATAATTATAAAATTATAAAATAAGCACTCTTAATTAAATTAAAATATTAACTATATAAAAAATATTCAATAACGACTAACCAAGAAAGAATCACATAACAACATCTAAATCTAAAAAGAAAAAATAATGAAAACATACAAACAATAGATATTTCTCAGTGTGTGAAGTGGTTAAGTATTTGTAATATGATGTCAAAACATAAAAGAACTTATTGTTCAACAATTGAAAAAATAACTCAAGCAGTAAATCTAAACTTTAAAGGTTATTCAGGAGTATCATTGTTGTTCAATTTTTTCCTCATGTGAGTTGAAATTATATAAAATAATATAGGAAATGAAGTATAATTTCATATATAGGAACACTATAAAATTTAAACGACAAATCCATAATATAAAATAATACAGAATTAATATTGGGTATAGAATAATGTACGGAAAATAAGAAGAAAAAAAAAAAGAGGCAATTCAGTATTTAAAAAACTCACCTTGAAAGAATTAAGAAGAAAAAAATGAAAGCAAAATTGGTGTTGGGTTTTGTGATTATCTCAATTTACCATGAAAAATATATGGAAAAAAAATATTTATCAAATAAAGTCTATATAAAATAGATAAAGTTAGTGTAATTTAAATTAGGTTTGAGTTTGTATAAAATTCTATGTAATTAAAAAAATACATACTCACGTGACTCTCTTAGAAAAAAGTAAACCCGTATAATGTGGCACTTAAGTATGAAAAAAATACTACTTTTAATAATATATATGATAAGGTGATTACAAGTAAATAGTCACCAAGTGTCGCCAAACGCCATTGTCAACCCTGTGGATATAGGACCGGAGATGGTGGAGTGGAAATGTGTCTTTCTTTCGCATAGATACGTAGGGTTTGATTTCTATGGGGCGTGATTAGCAGTTCAAACGGTTGAAACGGATTACGCTGTATTTCACTCATGGCCCTGCTTCTTGTGTTGGGGATTGGTGCACTTCTCTTTTGTCTTAGTGGTGGGTCTCTTTAGATTGAATTAAATCTGGTTGACAACCGGTTATCCCTCAATCAGGACCACAGATGTTATGATGTCCTCACGGAGCATCTTTTTTAATGTTAAAAAAAAAAAAAGTGGATATTTTTTGGGCAAAATTCAATATCTGCCAACTTGCTAGTCAATGGATGGCCAATGTGTATTTTTTTATGATAATTACCCCTCTCTTCTCTCTCCGCTTTTAAAATTTAAAAATGCTATGAATCATACAAAATTATTTCCAAATTTATTTCAAAATTAGGTATATAATGTGAATTGAAAGTTAAGGGATGTAAATTTCACCTAATATGGTTGTAATTCATAAACATATTTATTCTGAATAAATAATATTATTATTAAAAAAAATTCAAATCTTAAATAATAGTATTTGAATTTATTTTATTTTATTTTTTTAAACAAGACTCTTCGGTACATGCTGCAGTCTTGTGTCACATTTTATCCAGAGACAAATTATGCATAAGCTGGCTAGATGTGTAAACAACTTTATATAGCCACTCCATTTTCTGTGTTTGCAAAACATAATAAGTGTGTTTGATTGGACGGACTGGATAAGGGGATTAAAATCCATCGGATTTGAGTCCTGGGACTGTAAATTTCCCGGACTATTTGGTTGGATTGGATATGTATCCTGTGTTTGTTTTTTCATGGGATTAGATGTCTGGAAATGACTATTTTTAGTGAATTCAACGTTTGGTTGGACAGACTGGATAGGATAAATAAGCAAAAAACTATTTTACCTTTTTTTAATTATTTACCAAGTAATAGCAATATTAAACATATCTTTAATATTTTAATTATTTTTAGCTAGATTAAATAAAAATTTATTTTATTTTATTTTTTATACAATTAAATAAATTTATTTTTTTTAAATTAAATAAATAAATAAAATATCAATAAAAATTTATATTATTTTTTTAATTAAAATTTTAAATAAATTTGTTTTTAAAAATAATAATAATTAAACAATGAAATTAAATAAAACATCTATTAACATTTAAATAATGAAATTAAATAAAATATAAATAAAATTTTAAAATAAAACATCAATAAAATATCTATAAAAAATTATTTTAAAATAAATAAATAAAACATCAATAGAAAGTTAAATAAAATTATTTTATTTTTAAATTGAGACATTTAAATTTTATTGAATTTTACTAAATATAATACATAATTAAATAGTAGAGGGTCAAAATGGACATTTCACTACCTAATCCCAACAGTAAATAATCCCCCCAAAATTGTCCCACACCCCCCCTAGGATAGTATAATCCCCCATATAGAGGATAAGGAGTCCAGCCGGACTCCATGTCCGACGAACTAAAAAAAAAAACAAACATCGGATTGAATTTACTGTGCGAATTACAATCCGCACAGTAAATAATCCCCCCCTTATACCCTCAATCAAACACACCCAAAAGGAAATCAAACACTTCATGATGGGATTGAATTTATGCATTGTTGGGGTAGGTGGAAAATCAACCAAAAAAAAAAAACTTTCTTATTGGGTCGTTTGATATTGACTAATATAGTCAACTTTTTTGTGTTGAGACTTTTTTAGCCTCATTTGTTTTTTGTTTTGTGACTTTTTTTACTTTTGTGAGAGAAAAAGTATAATGATTATAAATAAAAAATAATATTTTGTTTATATAACCTATTATGTCTTTTTATATTTTTTTAACTCCAATGAGAAAGCCAAACAATAGCTTAATGGAGATTAGTTTCTCCAAAATGTCCACATGAAACTTGCATAGTACAAATATTCTCGCAATATAAATAATACAAAGATAAACTATCAATAAATTCTAATAATTTAATTTAATTTTCATAAAGTCCTATTAAAAATAAATCTTAATAAAATCGCTGATAAAAATAATTTTTTGTCATAAAAATTAATAATTAATGACTTTTTTGTCACAATTTTTATAAATTGTCACTAAAACTTATAATTAATGACGTTTTACTATGATGTATTTTTCAAACTGTCGTTGAAAGTTGAAAATTAACAATTTTGTATGACAATTTTTAAACTATTGCTTAAAATTAACAATTTGTGACATTTTTTAGTAGTATGTGATAAAAAAATATCATTAATTCTCACAAGATCTATTAAACAATAAATTCACCAATTAAAACCCGCACGTAAATCGTTCTATATACAATCTCATTCTTTATATTACATACTATTAATGCCAGCATTAATTCATGGAATTTAACTTTCCTTATAATTTTGCATACTCGGAACATACTTTTTCTGCAGGGAGGTAGAAAATAGTACCATAAAAGAAATTATAACTGTACTTTGAGGATTTGAATACATTTTATATATCTTACTCCTAATGGGGTAGCGAAGGAGAGCCGCTAAATAATAATTGCAATGGATGGCACGATGTACAAACACACATACAATCTTCAATATATACGAATGGTAAATCTAAATCTATATCTACAACCCTCTCTCTAAGGCGGTTGAACTAACAACCCTCAAGAGACGGTGGTGTTAACACGATCATTGAAATCATATCACAAATATGCATATTGTTTCATATTTCACAATAGACAAAAAAACACAAATAGACAAAAACCACAAATATGCATATTGTTTTCGACTCTATCCAGAGAGACCTGCAGGAACTATATGCACAAAATAAATTGAATCCCATTGACTTTATCATCCCAAACTCTTCCGAGATGCACCGTACGGATAAGTAATGCACCTTATACATAATTAATCATTAATATCATTCAAAGACAACAATTAACCTTATCTTTGAATCCATGCCTGATATTAAATTACACCCCTCACACACGAACGCGCATAATGCATATGATGTCAGTGGCTATAGATTGCCATCCATGCCGCAAAAAAGGAGAAAAACATTCAGCTCGAAAAATAATTTTAAAAAAGAACATAGATAACAAATTGAATTTATGGAACATCTACTCTTTATCAAACTATTTGATGATTTCAAGTCCAGAAAATTTTCAAGGATCAACATTAAGTTTCACCAGCAGCTTCATCAACATAAATATGCTTCGCTGCTAGTTCCCATTTGGGTTTTTATATAATTTCCTCCAATCATAACATAGACAAACTAAACAAACCTAAAATAAAGGCTCGTAAGGTAGGTAGTACAATATGCACAAATCAATTACTGGTACTTCCCCTTCTTTGAACAGGTTTGTAGAGTACGACAGTAACGAATTTCGCACGGAAGCGATGAGTGATTCCAAGTGCCACAACAGGTCGCGAGGTTTCTCTGTTCTCAATGTAAAGATGGTTGACAATCACATGCTGGGGTAATCGAAGGGATTCAGATTGGTCTCTGCTTGTTGGACCGCTTAGTAATGTGTCTTGCAGTTGTGCAGGAACCATGGGTGGGTCCCGTGTCTCATCTTCATTCCCAGGGTACACGTTGTTGTAACTCGAATCAGGTGATTTTGGAACTTCAAATCCCGCTACAGTTGCTTCTTCCTATACAAATGTTACATGTTTAGGGCAAGTTTGGTCCAACATAATACACACACACACACACACACACACACACACACACACACACACAAAAAAAACCTGAGGTTTTGAGGCTTACTTGATTTTCACTATATGGGTTCATTTTGAAAAGGTAATACAACTGGCTAACAAAGCGAACTCATGAACTACTGGAGATTTTTTTTATAATGAAGAACCTGAAAATACAAAAGTCTATCTCTTCTGTCAGCATTTGGACACATGGTAATGATGTAAAAGTAAACAATTCCTAAATAAGCAAAAATTGTTAAATGAAACTGCACTGACAATTCAACAACACTTCATCTGAACTAACTCGGAATTAGCGATCCAAATCCTCATCCACATAATTCAGAACTCATCCTGAACGAGTTGGACTGAAAGTTCAACATTGACTGTATAAATAAGAAATGGGGAATAATATGCATGGATCCTAATCGACAAGGGTAACACCAACATTTCATTTCAAAAAATCAATGAGAAGCATATAATCCACAAGTGCCACTTGATTTAAAAATAAAAAAAAATTTTCACTACATGACAGCCAATAAGAAAATTATTACTAATGACTTGAGCTATTGCAATTTATGTAGTCGGATACATCATACTGGAATCAGACTACAACTAAAATGGCCAAGCGCAAGCTAGTTTTCCGGTAAACAGAAAACAAGACAAACTGCAGATTAACACCTTGTATGCTGTGAGGAATTTCCTCTAAACACTACTACACTCACTTTTGAGGATTTTGCATGTAGAGAGCAGTAGAGAAGGAAGGAGCTCAAACAAAAAAAAAAAGAGTGTCAAGGAGCACATTTTTAAATAAGTAATGTATTGGCCATTATGTAACGGATTTTTGAAGGCCTGATACGGATACAGGATACTATATAAATGTTAAAAAAACATACCTGTATCGGTCGGTTCTATTACAGCACCAGAATGGACCAATATGGCCATTAAGGACTCTGTCAGCACAAGAAACACCCAAACATGATCTGGGCCATGGAGTTAACAGTGGCCTCTCTACCTTTAGTGTATTCGGGTCTTCCTCTTGGATCAACTTTTAAGACCACAGTGGTTTGAAATCATGTGGTTAAACAATTTAAGAAAAGGCTTGTGAGGTGGAGAAGGCAATATCTATCTAAGGGGGGTAAGGTCACTCTGATCACAAATACCTTGGCACCAGACCGTCAAGGACTCTGTCAACACAAAAACCAACCAAACAAAATCTGGGCCATGGAGTTAATGGTCGGAGGCTCTACCTGTAGTGTACTTGGGGTCTTCCTCTTGGATCATCTTTTAAGACCGCGGCCATTTGGAATGTTGTGGTTAAATGATTCAAGAAAAGGGTTGTGAGTGAAGAAGGCAATATCTGTCTAAGGGGGGGTAAGGTCACTCCGATCACAAACACCTTAGCAAGTTTGCTGACCAATTTTTTCTCTCTTTTCACCATGCCTACTTCGATGGAGGAGAGATTGGAGAAGCTTTAAAGGATCTTTCTTTGAGAAGTCCATTAGTGTGTGTAATTGAGGATTGTTGAGGAAATGGTTGTGGAGATATGTTGAAAAGAACTATTTATAGAGAGGGATGATTGATTGCAAGTATGGAGTTAGTCAAGGAAATTGATATCCGAGGAGGTTTGAGAACCCTATGGTGTATGAGGGGTGGGTAAGATTTTATTCTTTATGTGAGGTTTTCTCATGGGGATGAGCAGAAAATTCAGTTGTTGCATGGTGTAGTGTAGGGATGCCTTAATTAGTGACATGTAAAGACCTTTATAGCATAGTTGTCAATAACAAGACAGTGGTAGGGTTCTTGAGAATTTATGGTTGCGTTTGGTAGAGTTTTGTAAATATGATTTGAGAGTATGAGTTGTATTTTGAGTTTGTGAGTTGTAGAATTATAATTTGAGTGCAGAAAATTTGTTTGGTTATGGTTTTTGAATAGAATGTTGAATTGAGTGTGGAATTGAGTTTTGAAAGTTTGATTTGACATGTGAAGTAAGAAAATTTGTTTAGTTATGAGTTTTGAAAAGAGTTTTCAAAACTTAATTAAATTATTATAACTCATAACAAAACACACTACTTTCACACTATTGAAAATTCTGATCAACACTCATAACCAAACTCTTTTTAAAATTCAATTAAAATAAATTATTATTAACAGAAATTAACATTAATCAATTTTTTAATTGAAAATACTACAAAGGAAATAATTTTTTTTCAAAATAAATTTTTAAAAAATTTAAATCATAAATATTTAAATAATTTAAATAATCTAAAAAATTTAATAAGTAAAAAATTAAAATAAATATTCAAAAATTTAAATCGTAAAAATTTAAATAATTTAAATATTCAAAAAATTTAAATAATTTAAAATGTAAAGGGTGTAAAGAGATTAAATAGTGGTGTAAGTAGAATCACCCCAAAACAAATTCAATACTCCATTAAGTCCTCAACATACTACTTTCACAACTCTACACTCAAATCGTAACCAAATACATAACAAAAAAATTAAAATATTTAAAAATATTTTTATAAAATAGAGTTTGAATTTATTTTTATAAAATATTTTAAAATTTAAAAAATTTAAATCACAATATTTTGAAATTAAAATATTTAAAAATATTCAAAAAAATTTTAAAAAATCGTAACATATTTAAATATTTAAAATTTTAACAAAACTAAAATATTTTTAAAATATTTAAAAAATTAAAATATTGATTTGAATTGAGTTTTGAAAAAAGTTTTGAATTATGTATTTAGTTATGAATTTTAAAAAGTAATGATTATGTTTTAAATTAAGTTTTGAGAAATTGGTGTAGAATTATGATTTGAAAGTTCCAAACAAACAACACACTCAAATCAATAGGTAGAACTATACTTTCAGATGCTTACTAAACGGAGCCTATGAGTTTGGGGTGGTGTGAGAACCCATCTTTATTAAATTTCTTCAAGGTTGGGAGTTGGAAGCAATGGATGAGTTCCTCAAATTGCAATATGGTGTGGTAGCATGGTTTACAAAATGAGTCGCAACCGTTCCATATGGGTGGTACCACCGCCATCCATTACAACCACTACAGTGGTGTGATTGAAAATATTGTTGTTAAAATCGGGATCCTATGTGGGATCATTGGAAGGGACTCATGGATCAAATCGTAAAAGCGGATCGATGATCGTAAGATTCTACTTTTAATGTAAAATAAAATGAAAAATCATCGATAATGATAATATATGTTCCGTAATTTTAAAAATATTAAAGAAAAATAATAAATTTGATATAATGCATCTTTTATGATAACATCAAGAGAAAATTGGTGATAAATCCAATCTAAGAAGAGTGTAAGGCATTAGGTCCAATGAATATTTTTTGTTGGTGAGAAGTTCACGCTTTGTGAAATAATTTGATGAGAAATTCTAGAAGACATTTTGTTTTCAATTTTACCCCTGAACTTTTTTCTATTCAAATTTATATTTATCTGTTCAAATTTTTTGACTATCTGTTCAATTTTTCTCCTAAATTCTATCTATCTGTTCAATTTTTTTCCTAAATTTTATTCATCTGTTCAGTTTTATAACTATCTGCTCAATTTTTTTTCCCTATTTGTTTAAAAAATACAAAGATCTAATCTTATCTGTTTAAAATTGCACAATCTTGTTTTCTATCTATTAGAATTATCCACTGCAATAACTACACCCCAACAAATAGATCTTCACTGCCTAAACCTTTATGAATAGAGTAAACCACCAATAGGTCCTAATAGTTGGACTTAATTCCCATCAAGTCTTATTGTAAATAAATCTTCGTAAAATTGTCGCTAAAAATAATTTTTTTGTGATAATTTTTTATATGTTGCTAAAAATTGACAATTAGTAACTTTTTTTTGTCATGATTTTTATAAATTGTGGCTAATACTTACAATTAATGACATTTTTTATGACAAATTTTTTCCATAGGACCTATTAGATAATAAGTCCACTTATTAGGACTTACACGTAAGTACCCCTTATGAATACTGCATATGACCAGATCTATGAATATATGAACAAATCTTCACTGCCAAATGGTAACCAAGGTACAGACAACAACAACAATATCTCTCTGTAGGAATGAACAAAAAAAACAAAAAAACAAAAAAGAGAGAGGGAGAACAGCCTACCACCACTGAAGAGAGCTCTTCTTACAGCCTGATACATAGACTCCAACAGCGAAGAACACTTGAACAACACAAAATCACAACTCAAGCAATCAAATCACATATGAAACTCATTTAATAAAAAGTGACATAGATCTGATAGAGAGAGATTTTGAGTGGATTAACTCAAAACAAGATCTGAAATATTTGAATATCTTTATGTGTTTGGATGCTAAGAAAGAATACTCAAGAGTCAAGACAAGATTTGAAATATTAATTCACTTGGATGATGCTTTTGCCTTGCACAATAAGAAGCTAAGGGTTTTTGAGGAAGTCCTCAACCCTAAAAACCTCTTCCAAGAATTCATTCTCAGCCTTGTCACTATGCAACTCATGAGGAAACCCTAGCAAGAAAAAACAAATTTGTTGACTGCACAAAAAGGAGACAGAAAACACAAAACACAAAGAGAGAAAGTGAAGATGAAATTGGAGAGAGAGAGATATGTAGAGAGAGGGAGATTGGGGAAAAAAATTGTTAACCATGTAATTGGGCAAGCGATGTGAAGGCCATACATGAGATCTGAGCCTTTAAAATATCAGATCTGAGGCTGATGAGAGAGATCGGTGGAGGAGTCGGAGCCGCTATACAAGAGGTAGTGACGGCGGAGTCGACAACGTTGTACGAGAGGCGGTGGCGACGGAGTCAATCATCGCCCAAAGAAGATGAGTGAGAGATTTGGAGAGGAAGAAGACAGAAATTTGACAGCGGCGACCTCCATATTGGAGAGGAGGCATAGGTCGATGAAGCCGAATGAGGCAGCGATTCTGGAGGGAAATGAAGCGAACGACAGTGGCATTGGGTTCGATAAGAGAACTAAAATTTTACTCTTTCTCTCTCTAGAAATAGATGAGAAGCTATGTTATATGAACTTGGCAGTTGGAGGCGAAGTACCCGTATTGACACGACACGGCACAGCTGCGGGTATAGGATATGTGTCGGATTCGCCTCCTCTATCTTGGACATGGCTACTCGAAAAGAAAGAAAAAGATTGAGATACTTACATGGATGAATTGGGTTCGAGATCTGGATTTGTTGTATCACAGCTCATCGACGAGTGAATGTCGACTACAAGTAGGAATGCCAATTTAAAGTCGGCCCAACGGGGACCCGCCCAGATAAGCTGGGTTTTTCCTGAAAATTAGCCCCTATAAGGCCAGGGCTTGTATTGAAAAATGGATCATCGACGATTTTCGGGCCGGGGACGGTGATAGGCTCCCCTGCTCTGGCCCTGTCCCGTCCGGAATGATCCCCGAACCATCCCCATATATATATATATATATATGTTTGTGCCTCTCTCCCTCTCTCTCTCTCTACTGCAGGTTAAAGCGGCGGTGGCTCCTCTCTTTCTCACAGGCGTCACTTCTCCCTCATGGCATCGCGACTCTCTCTCTGCAACTCAAAAGCTGATCTCCTCTCTCTCTCTGCCCATTTTCTCTCTCATCGCTCGGCTCCGATCCGGCTTAGATCCTTCTCTCCCTCTTTCCCCCCATCTCTCTCTTTGCAACTCTCTCTCTCTCTCTCTACATACATATATATATGTATATGTATGTATAAGTTTTGTTTATAGGGGGTTATAGATTTGGAAGAGATGGAGGAGCTCGAATTTTGTTATGGTGAGTTGTCTGGACCAATGTAAAACCCTAAATTTCACTTCTAATGTTTGAGTTCGACCTCTCATTTCTCTTACAGGTTGTGTCTTCTTTGTGAACCAACAACATTCTATGCTTTTGGTGCCACTCTTCTACTCACATTTCTCATGAATTTTGCGGTAAAACTTCATCGACCAAGCATTTCTAGTTCAAATGATCGCTATCCACCTCCTTTCAAAATTGATCTAATGTTATTGTCATTCCATTATTTGTACTGTTGCTGCTATTTTGTTTTTGTTTTTTTTTTTTTTTGGGGGCCAGGGAATGTTTGGGGTCGGGGAAACCCGATCCCCGTTAGGGGGCGGAGACGGGGGGACGGGGTTGGGGCAGTGATAGGTTATTACAACACTGTTATGATATCGTCATATTTTTAGCAAATTTCACATATAAGACTACTTTTCTCAAATTTTTCCTTTTTAATTGCTAGTCATAAAAAAAATTACACACAAATATTGCAAAAAATTTTAGATCTACATGCTTTGAGCATTCAATTTTCAAATTCTACAAGATTAAAATGCCACAAAAGTGTTTCATTTTTTTCTCTTGATTACCTGATTATTAAGGCCTCGTTTGGGAACAGGCTAATTTAGTAATTTTTTGACTATTTGGCTAAAATATGAGCTAAAAAAAATTAGTATGTTTGGGATAACTTTTTGACTTTTTATGAAAAGATGTGCAAAAAGTAGAGAGAAAAGAGAATTTTTGACTTTTTAGTATGGGTTGTTAGCTTTTTGGCTAATTTAGTAACTTTTTGACTTTTTGGCTAAAAGGGAAGGTTCCCAAACGAGGCCTAATTTAGATCTACCTGGTTTAAGTACGATTTATTGAACAATACTTGGATAGTGCATGTACTTTATACTCATATGTTGGCATATAACACTATAAATTTATTTTTATGACCCTATGGCTATTAATATCATACATGCTTTATTTATTTATTTTCATAATGATGGAAACATTATCTATATGTACAATCAATAAAATAAAGAAGTTATATACATCTAATAAAAAGAAAAAATCTTGGTAGCAACTTAAAGCTTGTGTAAAAATTAGTAGATATAGTACATTTGTTTGTGTCTAAAAACTAAACAAAATCAACCAAAAATCATTTTAAAACCTACAAAATGTGATTCTAAAAAAAATAATATATATATATATATATAGGTATTGTTTAAGTTTCTCCCAAATTGTGCCCAAAAAAAAATTTAATATATATATATATATAACAGCTCTAGTTGCCAACACAGAAACTTTATAGCCATTACATCTCATCACCTCCACCGTTACCATTACAACTTACAACAGCCGCCATCATTATTTAAAACCTTGGGTGGTAGACCTTGGGAACGTTGGGAACAAGATAAGGTGGAGAGGCTGTAAGAGAACTTTTTCTGCAAGTCCAATATGCACTACTTTGTGGAGGGACAAGGAACGTTTTCTCTTGGAAAATTATGGAAATCTAGAATGCCAACAAAAGTTGCTTCTTTGTTAGGATAGTAACTTCAAACTTTGTTACGACAGTTACGGGTTGTTTGGGAAGTGCTAGATTAGTATACTTTTTTACTTTTTACAAAAAAATGTGAAATATGGGTTGGGTTTGAAGTGATGTGGTAGAGAGGTGATGTGACTTAATAACCAAAAGAATTTAATGTGCTAAAATAGGATAATGTGACTTAAATAAGATAATTGTGACCTAAATAGGATAATGTGCTAAAATAGCATGTACTATTTTAACACATGCCAAACAAAGCCTTAATAACTTGATGAAGATAAGTTATAGAATGACAAAGAGAAGTTGCCTTTGTTGTACTTGATAGAATTTAATAACCAAAATAATTTAATACTTGGATTGGAAATAGTGGATCACTTGTTGCATCATTGTGATGTTACTAAAGAGTTATGAAGCTTACTCTATGCCGCTTTTGGGGTTGAATGTGGTGCCAAAGTACATTCTTAAATTATTGGAATGTTTGTTGGTCCAGTGAAATTGAAGAAGAAAGCGTAGATGGTGGTATCATGTGGTGCCTATGGTGGTTGAATCCTTGTACTTTTGAAGGGACAAATATAGTGGTGCAAGAACTTATGATATATTTACTGCAATGCTTTCATTTTAGGTGTAAAGGATATTTTTGTTTTTTTTAATCCTTTTGGTTTTGTAAATTTTATTGAAGAGTTCAATTGTTGTGTTTTTAAACCTTTTCTTTGCACATAGCCTTGCAAGGTTTCACCCTTTTGCCACTTTTTATCAAATATACTTAACAAAAAAATAGCATAACTTGACCTACAATAAAGGCAATGGACCCACACAATAGTCCAACATAACTAGGAATTTCTAAATACCCTTTACACTAAAAGAATACATAATAGAATCAACTAGTAGCAAGCTAAGTTTCATATACAAAATTAGGACTCTAAACACATATCATAGATACTTCCCTATGGATCAAAAATGCTTCTTAATTATCATGGGCCCAATAGCCCTTGTTGTAAGCTTCCAAAACCTATTATACTTGTTCAGCCTTTCAATAAATGTGACATGATTGATAGTTGACAAACTTCCCATTTTCATATGCTTCTATCATACATGGTAAGGATTCCTAGCACCATTCCTAATTGCTCTTCAAATTAGAGTTTAAGTAGACTTTTTCTTGGTTAATAATTATTGGTTTTGGAACTTACCTAATCATCTGAATATTGGTAAATCCCCCATGAAGTGGGGTATTTTCTACTTTTCTTCCCCTTCCACTTCTATACTATTATTAAGTGAAGGCCTAAATTGGTTTAGTGAAGTCTTCTTCTTCTCATGCCACGTGGCAACTTTATATATGCTAAAATAAAAAAATTATTATACACAGAAAGAAAGAATCATCTAAAATATGGCCTTTACATTATACACCTCACTTGTTCCCTTTATTAGAAGTGCTCTTCACTAAATTAAAACGCAGATAAACATGTTGCAGTAATTTGGTAATATTATTTTTTATTCCAAGCCATCACACGTTCCCTAAAAGGAAGGGAGGGCGGGTAAAAGAATACAGATGAGATGACAGAACATCATGCCAACAACAAAAACATTTATTGCATATATGACCCTAAACAGAGGCACTTGACTAAACTCCGTTCCTGTGAAGAACATGATAGTTAAAACCAAGCATTATTGTCAATGATTCAATGCAAAAAGAATTTCAAACTAACAACAGAAACATCAATTTGCATCAACATATTTAAAAACACACACACAAACACAATTAAGAATTAATAAATCTTGACCAGTTTTGTTGTAATGCACACACACACACACACAAAGGCTGCAATCAGTAAACATTTCACCAAACCATGCACTGGCTTTGAGTTCTAAGACCATTCACAAAACCATTTGGCCCGTGGAAAAAACACTAGACTACAAAAAAATTAGGTCAATTAAAACAGAGAACATAAGATCAGTATATATATATATTGAACACACATGCATATAAACATATATATATATACAAATTCAAAAACACGAAACTAACACACAACACAACAATAACCATAAAAATTATAAATTGTTAAGAATTGAGAAAGTTACCGCTAATTAAAACCTCCACAGTGATGAATCTATCACGCAATCAGCTTCAGAATCATTAGCATTTGCCTCTGCTATTACTATGCCCTTTTCTCACGAGCAATCCGAAATTGTCAATTGAAAACCCTAGAATTCGATCAATGGTTAAACCCAAGCGACAGAGAGAGATGAGAATGATAGAAATCTCAAGAATTTGAAAATAAATACTCCATTAAACCCTAGAATTGAAAAAATTGGAGAGAGAGAGAGAGAGAGAGAGATTACCGGAGGCGATGGAAGGCAGTGGCGATGGAAGGCAGTGGCGATGAAGGCGTGACGTGCAAAGGCGACGAAACAGATGTGTGTTTTGTGTTTTTGCGCTTTCTTTATTTCTCGGTAGATTACAATGTCTCCTTCTGTTTAAGATTTTTTTTTTACTTTCCTTAAATACTTTTCTTATGGAGATTTTTTTGTTTTTTTTAAACTTTAATTCCTAATGTTTCTAAATTTTCCTTATTTTCTCTAATAATTGATGTCGGTGCAAAAAATTCCGTGGGAGGCCACATGCATAATATCTTAATATTTGATAAATTATACTTTATTTATTTAAATTTTAATATTATTAAGGAATATTTATTTATAAATCTCTATTTACTTATTTATGTTTCACTTAATCTAAATTTTTTTTATGTTCCAATAAATCTTATAGATAATATAGTTACCAAAATACTTTTAATAATAATATGATAAAGTGCACATCAATATTTATATTGACAGGATGAATATTTAATGATATAAACATTCGTATTGGCAATGTGAATATTTACATTATCAACTTGAACATTCACACTATCAAATCTATTTAATGTAAATGTTCACATTACCAAGTTGTTGAGGGTTCAAAAAATATTTATAGAAGTAAAATTATTTACAAAATACATTAAATACAATAATTAGAATTTGAAGGATTAAATGTCTAAAATAATATGACTTATTAAAATATAAGAATATTTTATAAATTAATTGAAATACAAGTACTTAAAAGAGAATTTTCTAATAAATTCTCTTATTTTTAAATCCATTCCTTAAATTTTTATTTTTTATAGCTCCTAAAATTTAATTTAATTTAATTTTTTTTTTTAAGTTTATTTCAATAGCCAACATTGGTTATCCTAGCCTCCAAACTACATTGCTAACCATCAACAATACTAGGTAGCCCGAAAAAACATGACTCGAAACACTCAAAACGACGTCGTTTTGACACATTCGAACTATTTGAGTCACAAAAATTTGGATTACCAAACATTTTCCATTGACAATACCTCTCTTCAAAGCAATTTTGACTATACTTTTCATTTTTAATTAGTTAAAATATAAAAAGAATAATTTTTTATTTTACCTAATTCTTTTTTCGTCTATATACCCCATCGCTATTTTTTATTTTATCTATTTATACATAAAAATTATTTAAAGAGTTTCTCAAATCTCTTCAAATGTAGCTAGCTGTAAAAATAGTAGTTGTAATAACTAGCTCATTAGAATGACTAAAATATAACAATACTAGTTATAATAACTAATGTGCATGATTTAAAGAGTCCCTTTTAGAGCATTCTCATCAAGCTCTTCAAAATTATTTTTTAGTTAAAAACTTCAAAAAATCAACTCCATCAAACTCACTTGTAACTCGTCAAAATTTACGATAACTACAGTAACTCGTTATAACAAGCGAGGCGTTGTTCATCGCTACTTGTGTGTTACCGAATGTCTGCCCGGAAGTCCAGCTGGTCAACCGGTCAATGGCAATTTTTATTTTATTTTTTTTAAGAATTATTTGACTGGTAACTTATCAATTTAATAAAAAAAGAAAGACTAACAAACACAATAAAAAAATAGTATTTAATAAGAATAAGTTAGAATAAAGAGTTTGATGCAGTAGATGCTAAAAGGTGATTAGCAAAAATAATGAAAAGTTTTAATTTGACTAAAAATTTAAAGAGTTTGGTGTGGATGCTCTTAGAAAGATAAAAAATATTTATAAGAAAGTAAAAAGATTTATGATTTTAATTATTAATATTTATAATATATTTTTATTTTTGTATAAATATATATATTTTTTGAAAAATGTTTGAGGACCACAATTTTTGTGGCTCAAATGGCTTGAAATTGTCAAAACAACGTCATTTGAGCCACAAAAGTTGTGGCTCTCAACCATTGCTGATATTTTTTTATCTTCCCACAGTTCACCTTGAGTTATTTGGTGATTTTGGAGTACAATCATGTAAATCAAATAACATCACATTGTTTAATTTTGAATTTTCAAAAATATTTATTTTAGGTTTTTTTTTTTTTGTGTGTGTGTGTATTTGTCTTCAATAAAAAAAAAATCACATTTTAGTCATTTTTTTATTTATTTTTTGGATGCACATAACATGAATGCATTAAAAAATAAAATATTTGTTAAAAAAAGCAATAAATACAAAAAAATGTACTTAATTTTTATCGTTTTTTAAAATTTAATTATTTAAAAAAAATTCACAAATATTTTACTTTCTAGAAGTATGTAAATTAAGTGGATTAAAAAATAAATAAATAATCTTAAAATATTAAAAAATGTCACTACAAACCAAAAAAAACACGAAAAAAATAAAAGGTTTAACATTTATTTTTGTAAATCGTTAACCAAATAAAGTAATTTGAATGAATCTCTAATGGGTGAGTATCCTATTTAATGGGATCTCTTAATTTTTTTTAATGAGACCAAAACATATTAAATGAAATATTAGTAATTCTGTGTATTGTTTTCTGATCACACTGTCAAATAGGTACTCAGCTGGAGAACACTGGCAGAATAGATTGCGCCCGAACAACCTGTCACAGAAAGATAAGACTTCGGCGGTAGTTCGTCCACCCAGGGGCACTCCGACGATCAAGTCAATACTCAGTTATCTCTCAAAAATAATAATTAGTGCTTAACTCACTAGCCAGAATACAAAAAACGTACATTAGACCCACAAGAGTGCCTTACTTTTATAGCCAACACTGACCTGATCCCTGTAGAAGCCTAGTTTTAATGGACTCTTAGCTCAATGCTTATCCTGGACTCTCAAATAGATAGAGATAAACTCTCTAAGAGCTTTATCTTTATCCAGACTGACGTCCTCCCCCATTCTAGAACTTTTATAACTTATCCGTTTATCCCAGACTCCGGTATCTTCGCAGATAACCTCGGCCTAGCCGAGATTATCTCGGCATCATGTCCAGGACACGTGGCACCTCGACTGGCACTTCGGCGCCACCTTGGCCACGTGTTGCTACTCACAAAATATGCCCCCACAACTGCCCCCTAGGTTCTATTACCTCAGCATCCTGAGGGAATGGAACCTATATCATTTGAACCTATAGCACGTCGGCTAAGCTTGCTTTATCCTTCATTACCGAGGTCATCATTTGTCAGCTCCATATGACCAAGGCTCTTGTAGTTTGTTTAGAACCAAGGATCAAGTTTTCCAAGTTTCTTTAACCGAGATCATTCCCTTAGCCGAGGTCTTTGCTTCATTAAATCAAGAACTCCAAGAGTTTCAACATGCGTATGAGCTGTCACGCACAGTAATTCAACCGTTTTCACCACGCGTCCTTTCCCTATTGAACCATACCTGACACGCGCCATCAAGTCGCATCGCATTTGCGTGCACCGCCTGACAGACACATCGTCCTATGCACACTAATTGTGTTTTTGCTGCCTTTTCGTGTTTTGATCAGAAACGCTTCCCTCTCTCTTCGCCGTTTCACTTTTGCATCTTCGTTTTCTCCAAACTTTCTCTCTCTAACACTCATCTCCCAAATCCTCCATTTTCATTCTCTCGAAGCTTCCTTCAACTACTTCCATTCTCCCCCTCCGGCGAGGCATTCACCGTCTTGTTACTTGTTCCACCGTCATTTAACTTCGGCATTCATTTCACCGGCATCACTTTTCCTGGTAAGCCATTGCTTCCGTTCGTTTCAATTTTTTGTTTTACTTCAAACTTTGCTATGCTTGTATACTGCCATTGCAAATCTGTTCATGCTCTTAAATAGTCATTTGTGTGTTGAATTCCATCATTCGTCATCTGTTTCATGATTCTGCTTTTGTATAATCTGTTGCTGGTATACACACACACACATGTTGTTCATACATTTGACGTTCTTGATAGCTTGTCACTGTTCTTGATTTTTCTTTCTGGGTTCTGAACCAAATACATACCTGTTATTCTGCCACCGTCATTGGCTTTATATATCTGTACATGTTTTGTAAAATGTTCTTGAATTCTTGTTTGTCTTCTTGAGTCTGAATCATGTTATTGTTTCTGTTTTCTTGTTACATTTTGCCAGATTCTTGCCTCCAATTTCCTGTTTCCATATAGATTTTAGGCTTGGGTTTTGATAGAAGCCACTATCCCTAGGAAAATTGGAACAAATTTCCCTAGATCTTCAAAAGCCCTTGCCCTTGCTTCTGTTCTGAGTTTAAACCAAGATCTATTAAATCTTAACAAACCACTTCCTTCTAAAATCCAACACCTTCCCCATTTAGCTGATGTTATGGGTATGTTTAGGTGGAAGATAGATACCCCAACTAAGCTTGAATACTTTAGGCAGGAGTTTGCCATCTCTACCGACGTTCATATCAGGTTGGCTGGGGAAGAGGACTCCATCATGCCCAAAGACGACTCCATGCCATTCCCAATAGTAGCCTTCATAGAGTGTGGACTTAGGTTCCCTCTTGACATCCTCTTCCGAGAAGTCCTTCACTACTATAAACTTAACTCGATGTAACTAGCCATTAACTCTTATCGAGTCATAAACGATATAATTGTCTTAGCTAGCTGAGAAAACACTAGGGTAACTCTAGCCGACATCCAGTACTACTACACCATGTGTGGCCTTAAGTCAGAAAAAGGCTACATTTATTACCTTAAGTCGAGATCCACAGAATACAAACTCGTCACCGACCTCCCAGACTCCAACAAGGTTGCTGGAGACGATTATTTCATCGTCTCGAGCAACTGGGAGTTCTCTCCAGAGGATGACCTTCACCTCTACCCTTTAAGCCGTACAGTGTTCAGAGAGGGAGATGGTAAGAGCCAAGTGTCACTTTCCTTGTTTTCAAGTCTTTATTACTGTTATTCCTCTTATATGTTCTAATGGTTTATTGTTTACTTTGCAACCCTTCCTTAGCCACCCAAGGACTTCCGCAAATCCTTCCACCCAAGCAAAGACTTCAGAAGGCTATTGGACTTGCCTGTTAATCAGCACAGGGCTCCTCTGCTCCTGAATTATATCCCAACTTACAAATCCGTCCTCCCCGACGTTCCAAAGAAAAGCAAGTCTCCTCCGTCTGCTACAACTCCTAAAGCGGAGTCATCATTAAGGCCTGACCAGGGATCAACCTCTGACCCAGTAGAACAG